CTTTCCGAGTTTTGGAGCACGGGGATAAACACCTTGTGGTAGACCTGGGTGGTAACGCCGAGCACGTCTCTGTGGACCGGGTGAAGGCGGCCCATTTGGATTTGGGCCAGCCGGTGGTGCTGGCACGACCTCCGCGACGAGGGCGCCCCCCGGCCTTGATCCCTGTCACCGAATTGAGACCCGTTGTTCCGGTCCCGCCTCTTCCGGAGGCCGCACAGGCAGAGGTCGTTTTTCCGGCTCCGGAGTCGACCTGTCATTCCTCCCCGCCACGCTGACTTTGTTTATTCTGGAGGGGCTTGTGTGGTGACACATTATTAGTACATAATTCAAGTGTGATTAGTGTGTGTTGCAACCCGGACCCGTTAGTGAGGGTACCAGGGTTTGATGTCATTCATGCTAGCTTGACATGAAGAGCAGCACATGTACTTGTCTTGTCTAGATTAATGGATAATAAAGTGTGGAGTTCCATACTGAACACATCGCCTCTGACTCCCTACATAATTTCATGTAATCGTTTATTTGAATAGGGACAATGCACATTAATGAACACTTTAGACAAATAATGCTTCAAGTGTAAATATGCCGGATTTTAGCTTTGAGCTAATTTCCATCCGTAGTCCCTGACATACAACATAGAAGAACATGAAACAGGGTCAACTAACCTGGGTTAACAACAAGAGAGCATCAAAGAGGCTGGAACGAGACCAGCTAACAGATTTGATAATCATAGTTGAGTTGAAGTCCAGTTTTTAAAGCCCATCTGATTTAAACGAACAGGAGACTCACTCACACACTCACACACACACACACACACACACACACACACACACACACACACACACACACACACACACACACACACACACACACACACACACACACACACACACACACACACACACACACACACACACACACACACACACACACACACATACATATATATACACACACACACACACACAAAAATAAGAGGCTATGACAAATTGGTCTATGTTTAACTAGCAGCTTTGAATTTTCCCCCGCTAACAGCAGCCATGTACAGGACGTTATTTGACTCCTTGTCTGATTGAGGGAAGAAGTGTTCTGGAGACATCAGCCCGTTCAGAAACTCACAGGGAAACTCTATTTCCATGTGGCAGCAGTTACGACAAGTTGTCATGATTTGAAATATTTTTTTCCATGTCAACTCCTCTTTGTAGCTTATCTTCTCTGAGTTTTATTTCAAAAATGTAATTAAAAATATACATATATAAATAAACAAATTGATTTATTTAGAATCAACATGGCGATATATTTAAGTTGTATGTTACAACTACTTGCGACACTACAGTAATTTATTTAATCCTATTTCATTTATTTACGTATTATTTTTTATTTACACTTTCTTTGTGATGTGAAATACGTTATAGGCCTGTTTTATTTTATACAGTTATACAATCAAAGTGTAATAAACATTGTCTTTTCTTCCAGAAACATTCTTGCTGTACAGAAGATTTAAACTGTGGTGCCTATCCTATAGTTATAGCAAAATCTATAATATGCAAAACATTGTGTTATTGATGTATAAATGGTTAAACATGACCCCTAACCCTACATTTGCACCAACCAAGTTTAACTGGCTCAAGTTCAGCGTTGCCTGTAATGTATGCCGCATAGGAGAAAGTATATATATTTTAAATGTGTGAGCAATAAAGGAATCATGGAAATGTTGACATTGTTTAATATTGGTAGTTGAGCATTACAAAGCAGGAGCAGACGACAGTATTCAGTCATTCACAGATAAAATCCCTGATAAAACAACAATGCATTTTATGGCTTATAACAGCATGCTTCGTGAGCACAGATAAGAAACGTTTTTCCATAATTTGTTTTTTGGGCCATTTTCTCACTGAGATCATAACATAGGGGACACTATATTCTGTCGCCACCACAGGGAACAAAACATGACAGGTTAATGAATAGTGTTTCAGTTGCCATTATAAATATATAGAAACACTGTTTGCAATCAATTGTGTTCCCTTCGCTGCATTGGTGAAATTACTTCTGATAACTTTAATTTCTCCAGTGAACAGGCAGGTCCAGTGTGCGTCATCCCTTTTTATTTTAAGAAACATTCCAAGTGAAAATGCTTTAATTCCACAGCCTATCCACAATAGGCTTTACAGTGTTGACGTACATGATTTTGTGACCAATGTGTTGGGTTCAAGGAAATCCAATGACTGGCTGTCAACCAACGATTGGGTCAGTTTGATAGAGGTTCTATTAGAGCCTCCCACTCAATGCGTTATTGAGATGATGAATAGTCAATGCTACATACTGTAATCCTGCAGTGCTTGGGCTTTCTGTGCCCATATCGAGTCACTGGTTTTACACTGTTAGTTATACTGGGAAATGTGTCATAATAATGCACTTAGTGTAAGGGGCATTGTCCTTTCTGACTGTCCCCAGCGCTCAGAGAGAGGTTTAATGTGATTAAAAAGCTTGTCATTAGCTTGGAATTTAAGATTTTTAAAATGATCATAAAACTATGTAACGAACCCTAAGTATCTACTGGGAAGTTCTACCAAGTCTCTATGGTTGCCAACACGGGCAAACGCGCTACAGCGGCACAAACAGCTTCAACAGGAGAAAGGCGGCGAAGTTTCAAAAACGATGCAAATATAAAAACACAAATGTGCCAAAACACATGCAAATGAAGAAACGTCTTCACCAACTTGACAACACATTCACAGCATAAACAAAAAGCTGCAAGAGGCTCAAAACACATAGGGAACGGCGACAATAAAAAGTGACACACACAGATGGAACCGGGGCTGAAGTCGAATTGTCCATTTAGCGTAGGAACCTTCCTAACGGAGTGAAATGACCCGGAAGTCCCTCAGTGGCAGCCATGATAAGTGCCGTTCGAATTCTCTAGATGATAGGAAAGGAGGTTTCAAACTTCCTTTATAACCTCCTTTAGCTTAGGAACCACTGGACCTCCTTAACCGAAAGGAGAGGAGAAAATGCTGCCCCACAATGCATTGCAGCCGCAGCATTTACGTCACACAACAGTCGGCCGTTCACGGAAACAAACGATTATGACGGAGAAATTATATCATGAAAGTTACGGTGCTTATTAAGCATTTTAAAACGTATGTGGTAAGTTACCAAAGTGCTTTGTTTTGAACGTTCATCAGTATTATAATCAAAAAGAGAAATATGAACGTTAGTTTTTACTGAAATGATCAAATAAAGTCAACATTTCACTGAGCTGTGTGGAGTTTGTTCAACTTTTAAAAGATGTTTGAATGGTGATATACACAGTGATAGATGTTAAGGACTAACGTTTATAATAAATACATTTGTATTGATTTTAAGATATTTTAATAGTTCATACAATCATACGTATTGGGATCATTTGTATTAACGTGGACCGGAGGGAGAGGGTGACGAGCATAAGTTTCACTTTCCTTTTTTATTTCAATTCCAACTTTGGTCATGAAGAATATGTTTCTCTGTTGTCCACGTTCATAAAGCATAAAGCAACAGCATCAGAGCACGGTGCAGAGTCTCTAGATGAGTTTACAGTAGTCCCTCGTTCTTATTAAACATCCATGTTGTAGTCCGCTGTATAGAGAACTGTAGTTTCCATAGTTTCCCCACAGCAGCAGACGCTCATTCATGACGTCCGCTGGCGCATCATAAACACGTCGGATAGTGAAAGTGCATTCGGATTCTCTAAAGTACCGCAGTCTCTTCTCCTAAGTCCTTTTGAATTCTCCTATCCACTATCCCTTAACCCCGTGACGTTTCACTCAGAGGTCAAGGAATAGGAGATAGGGTTAGAACTTAGGAGCTGATTTTTAAACTATCCGATCGCAACCCGGAGCATTTGTTGACGTTAGGGATTTAAAGTTGACAAACTGCCACTGTTGACCGAGTTATGTAAGTGTTTTGTCAGTATATTTGAAATGACGTGGTCAGCTAGCCAGCTTACGGCAGTTTGCAATATTATCAGAAGGAATCATGTGATCACATTGTTAAAATAAGCCATTTCAATTTTCGGTTAGTTTCCAGTGACAGGTGGCCAACTTTATAATCCCCAAATGTCAACTCGGGTTGCGTTCCAATAGTCCATTTAGCTTAGGGACCTTCCTAACCAAGTGAAATGACCCGGAAGTCCCTCAGTGGCAGCCATGATAAGTGCCGTTCCAATTCTCCAAATGAAAGGAAAGGAGGTTTCAAACTTCCTTTATAACCTCCTTTAGCTTAGGAACCACTGGACCTCCCTAACCGAAAGGAGAGGAGAAAATGCTGCCCCACAATGCATTGCAGCCGCAGCATTTACGTCACACAACAGTCGGCCGTTCACGGAAACAAACGATTATGACGGAGAAATTATATCATGAAAGTTACGGTGCTTATTAAGCATTTTAAAACGTATGTGGTAAGTTACCAAAGTGCTTTGTTCTGAACGTTCATCAGTATTATAATCAAAAAGAGAAATATGAACGTTAGTTTTTACTGAATCAAATAAAGTCAACATCTCACAGTCTTTACTGAGCTGTGTGGAGTTTGTTCAACTTTTAAAAGATGTTTGAATGGTGATACACACAGTGATAGATGTTAAGGACTAACGTTTATAATAAATACATTTGTATTGATTTTAAGATATTTTCATAGTTCATACAATCATACGTATTGGGATCATTTGTATTAATGTGGACCGGAGGGAGAGGGTGACGAGCATAAGTTTCACTTTCCTTTTTTATTTCAATTCCAACTTTGGTCATGAAGAATATGTTTCTCTGTTGTCCACGTTCATAAAGCATAAAGCAACAGCATCAGAGCACGGTGCAGAGTCTCTAGATGAGTTTAGAGTAGTCCCTCGTTCTTATTAAACATCCATGTTGTAGTCCTCTGTATAGAAAACTGTAGTTTCCATAGTTTCCCCACAGCAGCAGCAGACGCACATTCATGACGTCCGCTGGCGCATCATAAACACGTCTCTTCTCCTAAGTCCTTTTGAATTCTCCTATCCACTATCCCTTAACCCCGTGACGTTTCACTCAGAGGTCAAGGAATAGGAGATAGGGTTAGAATTTAGGAGCTGATTTTTGGATTATCGGAACGCAACGTACTGTAGCTCTCTGATCCCAGCTGTGTGCATCACTTGTTGCTGTCCCCGCTTCCGTATTGAGCACCTTTTATTTGTATTTGCTGCGTTTTGTATTTGCAGCGTTTCGTTTATGCAGCTCTTTTACTTGTTGTCAAGTTGGTGAAGATGTTTTTTTTCATTTGCCTCGTTTTTGTAACTGCAGCGCATTTCTGCTAATGGAACTGTTTTGAGCCATTGTAATGTTTGTTATTTGTCGGCCAAAGTCAGTCTCCAATAGAATGAAAAAAAAGAAACAAGTGTACGGAAAACACTGGTGGTTGACAGCCACATCACCATGCACTGTACGGTTCAGTGTTTCAAACAGAGGTGGAGAAAGTGTGTTGACAAATAAATAACAGAAATCTAGCACATGTATTATTACACTTCCATTCATCATACTAAATACAAAATGACGAACATGTGCAAAGGACTGTATCTCATCCAAACTGTTGCTTCATAAAGTCTCATAATTGCATACATCAGCATTCTGCTACTAGATTTATAAAATGGCAAACACAGCTTCAGGCTTGATTTGTGGGATTTAAAAATCAAAACATTTCTCACTTTTTGGTTTTGTAAACAGTAACATTCAGAGTCCTCATTGACAGCCGGGAGAATGTAAAGATATATAAGGGTCAGTAAACTGCAGTGTTTCTTATCTTATCATGGTCAGTCATACAAAAGGCCTGTGTATGAATGGAATATACTGTGTGTAGTATAGGTTGTGTGCTTGTGTATGTGTGTGAAAGACCCACTTCACATCTGCCTGTAAACATTTCCAGTTTCCTTCCTTGTCTTTACATTCCTTGTTTGCTCACTGTAGTAACTCATGAAATAAATGAATAAATAAACATAATCAATAGCATAGAATACATTCAAGTACATCAGTTTGAATCAATACTGGAATGTGAGCAGGTTCTGCTTTTTGCTTCTTGCACCAACCTACAGTCTGGTTGATGGTCTGGTTTGTTTGCACAGTTTGTTGACAGTCAGCAACCACATGTAGCTCACTGAGGCCACCTGAACTCACAGTGCCCGCCCTAAACCTGTCTGTCTGGGGCCACTCAGCAGCTGTGGACTCACTGGTGACCTCATGTACCTGAGGTTACCCCCCACAGGTAGCTCGAAGTTCATTTCAGAAGACTTCCAAGGTTGTGCACCACTCATAGTGCAGTGAGGGTGCGGAACAGCTGAGTGAGGCAGAAAACCGAGGCGGTGAGCGCGGTGCACTGTTTGGCTAGCAGCTTGGTGCTCAGATCCTGGCAGCTGCGCTTGCTGCTGGCTCGCTCTGCGGCCAGACAGAAGTCTCTGAACGAACGAGCCACGTCAGCCAGACCTGCGACCGCCTCTGCGTTCCTCCGGTCGCACCTTTCACAACCAGAGAACCAGAGGCATATACCTGCCAACTCAACCAGGGTCCGGAAACTGTTGGCCAGGGAAAGGAGCATCTCTTCTGGGCTCTGTCCGATACCCACCACCTTCTGGCAGCCTGACATCAGCCGCCGTGCTTCTATCTGCAGCACCCTCTTGTTCTCTGTAAAGTGGGCCGGACAGGTGTCTCTAGGGTGGCGACCTCCATGGTTTGCCATAGATCGGTCAGCACCGCTGCTTTCCAGAATCGCAAGGAGCTGATCCACGTCCACGCGAAGTACCTGGAATCCTGTTGGGGGTTCTGGGTAGCGCTGCTGGCCTAGCTGACTGATGGTGTCCTTGTGCGTTTGAGACTGGAAATTGTCTGAGGCGTCAGACAACGGTGAGAGGAGAGGGCTGAGCTCAGAGGTAGAGGTGGAGAAATGGATGGAGCGCGGGAAGGACGGAGAGAAGGTGGAGAGAAAGGAGGGAACAGGTGGGGAGGTGATGAGAGGAAGACCTGCTCCTGAAGTCTGCGTCACGCCGCTGCTCTGAGTGCGGCAGGAGAACTCGTAGACAGTCAGCTCCTCGTCAAAGCTGTCCCCGCTGCCGAAGCAGTTTGTGTAGGGCAACGTTGGGCAACCACAAGCATCCAGCGGCACTTGCAACCCTTCCACAACCGACTCACATACCGACTCTTGCAAAGAATTACAGCCAAACTGAGTCTTCAAGGCTTGTGCAGATCCCACCTCGACTGGGCCCTTTGTCTTGGACGGATCCTCACAGATGGTAAAGACCTTGCAGACGGAAGAAAGTGTTTTTGGTGAGTCGGAAGTCTGCTCTGGAGCTCTACAAAGACCCATCAAAGGTCTGTCGCCACTGGTCTGTCCTACTATCTGGGACTCACTATGAAATGGGAGACCTGGCCCGTTTAGATTCTGTGTGGTCACCACTATTGGAGAGGGTATGGAACACGACAGATCATTTATGTTCATTGTATAACCTTGAATGTCCTCACCTGGACTTGTGACCTTTATCTTTGATTCTGGAGAATGTTTTATAGGGCCAGGAGTGTCCATCTTTAGGCCTGAAGTGTCTTTCTGGAGGCTGTTCACTATGGAGACTGGAGGCTCTGTTATTGGTCCCGGTGTGTTCTTGTTAGGTTTATGGTGCCGAGGTTGATTTTGGTGTTGGGGTTTTGGCTCAGCCTGAACAGGCAGCGGAGAGCCTAGTTCTTTCATCTCTGACACCGGAGATAAACTATTTTCTGAATGTGTGTTGAAATAAGATTCCCCTTCCACATCGGAACCTGTAACTGTTGTATCTGAATCATCCGACTCCACTGATTCTGCATTGCCACTATCGAAGTCTATGATTTGTGTGACCTCGTCAACGTCCGTAACTTTGATGGTTATCCCTTCGCTACTGTTATCCTTAGCAGGACTCTGAGCTACATCCCCCACCCCAGCTTGGTGGAGGGATTCCTGGGAGCGTGATAGATAAAGGGGCAAATTTAGAATCTTCCTTCTTAGTGTGGAGGAAGATAAGCGACCCATAAAGCTTGGAGAACAGGTCTGGAAGAGGAAGTGAGGTGGAGAAGGAGGCGCTTTGGAGAGATTGTGGATTGTGGCTGTATCAGGTTTCGCCAAGCTAGGACTAGCCAAACTATCTTTAGTTTCAGGACTTGGAATAGAGCAGTCACTAGGTTTGTTTACTATTTGATTCAAACCTAAAACACTTTCATACAAAGCCTCACTTTGCAATCTGGCACCTGCATTAAATGTAGGAGATGTGGCACTTGTTGCAGCTCCAAGCTTTGCAGTGATAGAGTTTATGGCTCGAGTATAATCAGAACTTCCTGATTTCATTATTGAGTGAGCTTCAGTGTTGGTAGGAGACATGATAGGAATTTGAGACTCACCTTTACCTGCACTAACCACATTTGCACTGATGGTGTGCTTTGTAGCTATAGCCAAATCATTGTTCTTACTTGAACCAGAATTTAAGGAGTTATCCACTTCATCATCATCAAAAACATTGTCTGAATTGGTGCTGTCGGTAACTTCATCGCTAGGAGTGCTAACACCGATGGTGTCTTCCTCATTAACACGGGTGGTGACGTCTAAATATAGTTGTGCTTTTTCAGTGGGACCTTGTTTGCCCAGTGACATCTCAGAATTAGATAAAGACATTTTGGTTGAGGACCCCATGTTTTTAATGCTGCCTTTTCCACTAACAAAACAGTCACTCTGTGATTTGGGAAGAACTGGTAGAGGGGTTGTGGGTGGAGGGGGTGGTGGTGAGTATGAGTGAGGGTTTGAATTTTCACACACACCTTTAAGTAGATGTTTCTCTACGGCAATCACATGTGCTCCAAAAAGGCCATTACTACTCTTTGTATTAACATCTTTCAAACATGTAGGCAGCGTGTTGGCCTCCGGTTGCTTCTGAGCTTCTATAAGTGGTCTATCTGAACTCGCCAAGTACCCTTCCACCCCCTCCGTCTTCTCTTCTTCCCCCTTACCTCCCTCCTTAGTGTATTCTGGCAAAAACATATGATTAATGAACGGCCCATTCCCTGACACACCTGATGTTTCCACTTCCTCGTCTTTCACCTTATCCATCTCCACCTTTTCTTTCCTTTCCTCCTTCTCGTCTGGATCCATCCGGCAGCGGACAATAGTTATCGTAGGAGACGCTGCTTTCACCAAATCTGTGACCGATTTCGATTCCATTGCATCGGGTTCCATCTCCATTTCCTGTTTCCTGCTTCTCGAGGGGTCTCTACTCTGCTCATGAGACCCCAAACCACAAGGAGAGCTACATCCATGCAAGCGAGGTTTGGACAGGATGGGTTTGGACTCGAGCTGAGCCGGTTCCCCTTCGGAGTGATTCAAAGAGGAGACAGTAGGACAGGGGTTCTGCGTTTGTTCTGAAGGTTCAGGATCTAAACTCAGCATCTCTGCATCATTGGAATCTGCCAACATGCTGTTACGAAGCTTGTTGAAAACCTGGTCTGGCTTTTCTGGATCTGGCTCCGGAAATGACACCGTAGAGGTGAAATCAGTTTCCATGAAGGAACGTCGCTTCCGAGATCTTTTTCTGAGCTGGAACAATGTTTCTATGCCTCCTCCTTCCTCCTCTACGTCTTTTCTATCTTCTTCTTCTTCTTCTTCTTCTTCTTCTTCTTCTTCTTCTTCTTTTTCTTCTTCTCTGTCTGCGTCTGCCACCGAGACACTGATGTCACTCAGGCTAAGTATGCTGTGGAAGTCCAGTTTCATCTCTGAGCGAATATCTGCAAGATAGTAGCAAAATGATCAGCCAAATAGAGCATAAATATGACTGAGTGTATATCAAAGTTAGCTTTTTATGTTTTCAACACAAACTAATTCCTCATGTGGTCTGTGTACAATACACAGAAATAAGAAAAATACATACTGTAAGGGAAACTTCTGTGTAGCAATGCAGTGGGAGTCACCGACTCAGGAAGGAGACACGGTAGGAGCAGTAGCTTTGATGTCAAAACACTGATGATTTATTGGAGTTTCGGCCGGAGCATTCACATCACAAATCATAGCAGTCCCGGTGAGACTGCACGGGTGGGTTGCCACGTCAATTCTAAAGAACTCTACCTCAGACCCATGTATTTAACTAGTTCTGAGAGCATCATCAAACTGCTGCATAACAAGATAAAATCATAACGCCTCTATCAGCTGACGTCAACAGGCAGGAACAGCGAGAACACTGGGAGCACAGCAGCCAAGGTTACGAGGTGCGTGTGCTCAGTCAGGACAGTTTGAACTGATAAACTGGGTCAAAGTTATGGGCCTTTTCATTCAAAATAACTTGATAACAAATATCAACTGTGTTTTGGACAGAAAAGTCAGATTATATATTATAATCACTTAATTAATTGTGAACAACAAATAAGAGCAGGTTTAACTTGCTAACATAAGCTGTAGGGAGCTCATAAAACATACATAAAATGACTAATGCCAAAATATATTACCTTGTGTGTTTACGTAAATATCCATTTTAGGTGACGATAACAAAGTAAAAGATAATATTGAATTACAAGGGTTACATAGATTTAGGGACGCTTGAAATGATCATCCCTACACACATTATTGGATTGTAATTCATTTGTAAACAAAAACACACATTTGCAAATAGTTGTTTTACAAAATGATATTGCAATATTAGCATTGACAGTGTAATGAATCTTTGAAAAGGATATCGTTTCCACTGGGGTTGGGAGACACAACTTTTCCATTTGTTTTGTCTCCCTTCCCTTTTACAGCTTCTGTCTGATTTACTGCCAAGACCCAGAGAAAAGAGGAGATTATAAAAATCACTAGCTATTAAGCTTTAAAGGCAGAATCGACTGATTTAGAGACTTTGCCACATAAGATGCCCTAAGGTAATGTGTGGGTAGTCGCACAACTTTGTAATATATTTTGCACTTTGAAGTCTTTTTTTGAGAAATATAACTCCACCTTTGTGGGCCCTGAACAATTATTTCAATAAAAACACCTGCAACGTTTAGAGCAGTGCTTCTCAAAGTGTGGTCCGCGGACCACTGGTGGTCCGTGAGCGCCCCCTAGTGGTCCGTGAGTATATTGGTAACATTTCACATTTTTAATTAATTAAAGTTTTCCGCACTCTCGCGGGAATATCTCCGCAATGGAGCGAGCTTAAGTTTCACTTTCGATTGAATTATATAACCCAGATAAACACCTTCATCACACATGTTGCCACTTGTTTGTACAATTTTCAGGCGATTTGTAAAAAACGATGTGTTTCTGGATATTTGTGGAGTTTGGTGGTCCGCGAGTGTTTTTTTTTATTGGTTAAGTGGTCCTTGGTATGAAAAAGTTTGAGAAACACTGGTTTAGAGGGTTAATCTCTCTGTGGTGAAACTGCATACAATTCAGAGGTACGTTATATCATGACACAGCTTTTTTTAAGGGCCACAAGCGAGAGAAAAATCTTTGGATTAATCTTAAAATTGCATTGTAACTCATCCTAAGAGTCAAGGTGACTCAACAGTCCCATTTGTATAACAATCCCAAATTCTGACTTTAGGACTGAAGCCAGATTAAAAGTAATTTTTTGAGGGAATTGTGTGATTATTAGTATTAATATATTATTCTGAAGTTTCTTAGCTGCTTATCTGCCAATTGCACAATTCAATATTTATTTCAATCTGTCAAATACATGGAGTGATATAATAAAACACTTGCTCCAAATCTAGTATCTAGTGAAAGTACACTGTAAAATATTACCATGATTTCACAATATTTAGCTGTAATATTTTACAATAAATTATTGTTTTACCACTTTACAGTCTTTACCTATAATGTTCACAATATAACACTGTAATTTAGAATTTCACAGTGAAATCAATACAGGCACAGTTAATTACTGTGAATGTACAGGATAAATGATTACCAGGATTTCACAACATGTTACTGTATTACAGCGGCGAGCCGTCAGGGCCCTCTGTGAGGGCCTAAGATATTCTAAAAAAAAATATTTAAAAACATTTTTAAATTTTTTTTTTTTTTTTAAATATTATTTTTGTTATATTTTTCATTAGTTTTACCGAAAAAACTCGATTTAATTGTATTTAAAATAAAATGTCCGAAGAAATAAATCCTTCGAATCTGCCTGTTCAGTTTCTGTTTGAATGTGAAGGGTTACATGAAAAAAGCTTGTCTGGCCCTCTATGCGATTCACAGAGGGCCCGCTATAGTAAAACAACGAGAGAGTAATGTCAAGTGACAGTACAATTGACCAATCATATCTTCCCTCTAAATGGGAGGGCTTTATTATCGCGGACTTTATGACAAGTTCCGCCCGCTGCGCTGCCAAGTTTATGCATGTGATATATCAACGGGTCAAGCTAGGCGGAATTAGTATATTCACGATGGCTCACGTTAGTGATAGTGATGACATCGTTGCGAAACTACTAACCGAGTCTTTTTCAAGAATGAGTTACACGGATAAATTG